ACTTGTGGAGCTCCGTGTCCTTTGCGGACTGCAAATACAGCAAACAACACAGGGCGAAAGTTCTACTCGTGTCAGTCACAGGAATGCAACTTCTTTGTGTATGTACACTCATTCACAATCCTGATTCTGATTCTATCCTCTATGCTTTAAAATGATAAAACTCCAGATTATCTTTCAAACCAGAGCCTGACTTTCTTTTGTTTTTGGCCTTTTTTTTTTTTCTCTCGTCCAAATTTCTTATCCATCCCTTTCCTTTTTTTCAGATAGTAGAAGTATATTGTTGTACATCTATTGTGCAAATTTTGTGTACGTACACTCATACATCTTTGGCCTCTCATGCAGATGGGAGGATAGCCTCAGCAATGGCAGTGGAGGAAGAAGTGTCCCGCGAGCAAACACGCGGGCCCCAGCTTCTAATTCCAGCAGGAACGGTGGCCACGGGAGAGGCGGCCGAGGCACAACTCGGGCCCCTGCTTCTAATTCCAGCAGGAACGGTGGCCACGGGAGAGGCGGCCGAGGCACAACTCGGGGGGCTGGTGCGACTTTTGTGTCAGCAACAGGTGATCCAGCTTCTGGCAGGTGCTTTGTTTGCGGCGATCCATCACACTTTGCGAATGTCTGCCCCCAATTAGGGATGTAAATGGGGCGGATCAGGACGGGTTTTTGGCGCCCTGCCCCGGTATATGGGGCAAAAAGTCAGGTGGGTCACGGTGCCCCGGTTTTTTTTTTTAATTTTTAAATTTACTTTTATCAGTAATAAGGATTCATTTCAGTCTTGAAAAACTGATAATTAAATTATTCAATTTAATAATGAGTAGAAAATGGCTTTCTCAATTAGGTTGTAGAGACTGATGCGGTGAATGTGGTGCACGCAGTTAGTTAGCCAAATCTGCGATCATCCGACTCAAATGTGATTGGTGATATCCTTCATCAAATTTCTCTAGTTTCTTCTTGTGGTTCTGTTAGTTAAATTCTTCTTGTAATTAATCTTCTTTGTACTATGTATCTTCAATTGACGAGCAACCCCTTCAACTTAAATTTTAAATTTAAATTGATAAAATGAATGGAGTCAAAATAACTTTCCATTTAAAAGTAGGGAACCACCAGACAACTTCCCCTTTACAAGCAGAATCAGTGCATCATTTGTTGTACAATTATCTACTGTCAATGTAGACAATTTGTGGTCTACATTCCAATCCATCAAACAATCAATCAATGCATTAGTTAATGTCGGACCATCGTGTGGAGATGGAAGATATTGAAAACTCAAAATCTGGGATCTTAAAACCCAAGATTCATCAATAAAGTGCCCGGTCACAGTCATGCACCCTCTCTTCTGATTGTTAGCTGTCCACATATCAGTTGTAACGGCAATTTTACAGGAGTTTTTCTACATTAGCTGTATTGCATTCTCTTTCTTTTCCTTATAAATCTTAAATATATAGCTTCTGATGGTGTTTCTCGACATCATCTTAAACATGGGGCATGCAACGCTCATCATTTCAATGAAACCAAAAGGATAATCATACAAAATAATCATATGGGCTATTTTCTCTCTAAGCAACTCCGGATCAAAATTGTATCCGCCGATTGAAGGATCCCCACCACTGCTCTTCTGTCTTTTATTTGTGTCTCCTTTCAACTTAGGACATCTACTCAAATGTTTATGCAAAAGGCTTGTACCATTTTTACTTTCTCCTCCCAATATCCTCTCACAATGCTTACAAATTGCTTTCTCTCTCCCATTAATCTTTTTTATATCATAATAATCCCATACAACATATTGCAAGTTCCTTTTTCTTCCTCAACTATATCTTCCTCTTCCACTTGATAAGTACTCTCGGCCCCATGATTGGAAGCACTCTGCACAAATTCCACTTCTTCATTAATACTTGATGACTCCATTAATTCTGCAAAATAATAAAAGCAAAGTAAATAAATTCAAATTTAGACTAAGAATAAATTACTCTCTTGTTCTCGGGGAAAATACTAAAGAGCTGCTTGCAGAGCTCATTGTAACCAAATGCATATGACAATTATACCACCCACCAAGGAAGTAAACAAACAATTGAAAGAAAACGTAGATTTGCAGTCAGACTAGTCATCGATAATGTAAATAATGAATAAATATATTGAGATGTATAAAAAATTCAGAGTTGCACAACAGGAGAATCCTTTAATTTAATTAACATATGAACATCCTTACAAATAAAAGCCTTAATTCTTTCTCAAATCAGTACTTATAAGAACAGAAAAGAACATCCTTACAAATAATTAGATCATCAATCATACATACTTACAAGAACAGAAAAGAAGACTCAAAAAAATTGAAACGAAATCCTAATGAACCTCTAAAGCATTACATAAGCACATATATTTTGGAATTGATTGGATTTTAGAATAGGAAATCCTAAAGATCACTCAGAGTGGAAACAAATTCCTTCATCAAGTAGTACAACACTCCTGAATCAAACTATTGCAACATAAAATGGCCAGGAGAAATCTACCACCTTCAGAACGCTAAACTGAAAATCTAAAAAAAGAAAAAAAAAATTACTAGCAGCAATACACAAGAAAAAAAACATTAAAAAGGATTCAGACCTTACAAAAATTTACATAAACTGATTCAAAAATTTGATCAATACCCTTTTCTTGAAATCAAACAGCAAACTTAAAAGAGCACCCAAAGAAGAACTCGAATCCAAGATGAATTTCAGAGAGAGAGAAAGAGAGTTACACTTTTTACCTGAATATAAGGAACGGATTACGAACGATGATCAGCGGAAGCGACGGCGGCGCCGGAGTGCCGCAACGGCGGACACCGGAATGCCGCGACGGCGGACACCGGAATGCCGCGACGGCGGAGGATGACGGTGGAAGACAGCTATGGACACCGGGGGGAGAGAAACAGAGAGGGGTTAGGGTTTGACGACGGAGGGAAATGAAATCTTAGACCTCGTTCATTTCACTGATTCGAGTTTAGAATTTAAATTTTATTATAGTAAAAAGTATTCAGAAACAGTCACATCAAACTTTTTTGCTACAGTAAAAAGCTCTCACATAAAGTCACATCTCAACTTAAATTAAAAACTCAAATCAACAAACTAAACGAGTCCTTTAATCGAATTAAAAACTCGAATGAATGACTGAGGTCCTTAATCGAGTAATCAAGTTTTTTTTAATATAAATGGTGCGGGTTCGGGGCGATCCATCCCGCCTCGCTCATTAAACGGGTCATGACCCACCCTGAATCATGCCCTGATTGATTACAGGACGACCCACCCCGAATGGGCCGGCTCGGAACGGGGCACTACACTAGAGTTTCACCCGTTCCCCTAGCATTGAAATACTAGGAACATATTGCTAGCTAGTTTGGTGCCTGGTGTAGTAGTGGTTCAAGACCAACTAAACTGATTTGAAAGGATTGACTACATCTGTCTTGACATGTATAGCAGAAATAGAGATGCAACAATGGGTCGGAATTTGTGGGCCGGCCTAGGCCTATCTTGACACAATGACAGGTCAGGCTGGCACGATCCGTCACTATTCAAAGCACGGTCTAACCCATAAATATTAGTGGGTTGGGTTTGGCCAACATATATCGGTCAATGGGCCGGCCCATGAAATATCATGGGTTTGGGTCGGACTGGGCCGACCCGTCTAGGCTCATGATGGCCCAGCCTAGCTCGTCCCATCTAGGGCCATAATATCTTCATGTTTTTTTCTTTTTTTTAGTAACTTTGTAAACATTTTATGCATAATTATCTTGATCGTACTCTTTTTTTCGTATTAAGATTTTGTCCTATTGGGTTTTCCTTAGAAATGTTTTTATTTAATGAGGCAATCGTAAATAAATATCTATTTTCATATTTCTATTGACTATTCAAACTTTTTATATTTGTTAACTTGTTTAAAAATTCAAATATTCAAAAATTAATTATTGCATATTTAGATGAGCTCGACCATCTAAACCCATGATGGGCTAGCCCATTCAAGACCCATGGCTCAACCCAGTCTGACTCATGTAAAATTGGCTCGTGGTGTGGGCTGGGCCGAGGTAATTCTTATACGGGCCGGCCTGGCCCAACCCACAAAATTCATGGGTTGGGCCGGCCCGGCCCACGGCCCGCGTGGGCCTAAGGAGAATGGGCGAGGCCGGCCCGTTTTTACATCTCTAAGCATAAACAATACCTGTGACGACCTTAACTTTTGATCATCATCCTACGTTCGTACTTAGCATTACTTAACCTCTACTAATTTCTAATTATAACATCTTAAAAATTCAGGCTAATTTTTTTCTACCATTCATACATCTAAATGCTGTAGCATTTTGCTAGCATTCTGTTTACAGTAAAAAGAATATTAAAAAAAACTTCATAAATTTTTTATTTTGCAAAAAAAAAATCATTACAACTTTAACTTATTTTTAATTAATAATGGATATTTCATAGTTAAAAGTTAAAATTTAAAATAGTTTTAATTTCAAATTATATTTTAAGTCATAAAGTTACGAAAATACTCTCAAAATAATAAATTAAATGTCAATTTTCGTTAAAAGCCTAACGGAATGGACTTTTTTAATTAATATTTTATTATATAAGGGTGAATGTTATATTTTAAAGATCATAGAGATAAAGTGTTACAACGGACATAACTCATAGTGAATTTTTGTAATTAATCCTAAAAACAAACTGTGGAAATTTATTTTAAGAATTCTATAGTAGGCACCAAGAAAAAAGTACCTATTTTTAGTACTTAAAGTCTAAGTTTAAAATTTTAAGTGAGAATATCTAAATTAACATGCAAAATTTTTAACACTTCAAAATTAGTGTTGGTAGAGAATTTTTCTCCCAGAATTCTCCATTTCATAATCTTGTTTGATGTTCCCCTTATTGTGGTCACACGGCCAACAACTAAAAAGTAGCAGCAAAAATATTTTATGGGAAAACGGATAATCAACCAATGTACCCTGGCAAAATATAAACGACAAAAAAGAAAAGAAAAGAAAATCAGCAGCTAAGGATAGATAAAAACTTATATGAAATTGAAATTAAAAATAAAAAATCAGCAACTGGGTAAGGAAAGATATAAATTTATACGAAATTGAAATTTTAAAATACAATATTGAAATATCTTAAATTATACGGTATATATTTTTGATAAGTATAAAAAATATGGTATATAAAAAGTAAATAATCAATTCTTAGGGCCAGCTGAAATTCACAGGAAAAGAAAAAAGAAAAGAAAAGAAAAGAAAAATCTTACTTCCTCGTATCGTATCTCTATCTCGTTACCCCTTTTGCGCTCTAATGTCATCCAAAACCAAAAGCAAAACCAAAACGAAGAAGAAGACTTGTATCTGATTACTTCCCATTTCTCAACCAAACCAGGTTTCTAACGTTTCCTTTATTTGTTTGTTTATTTATTTTTGTGTTACTTCGATTCAACGGCTTTTGTTCAAGTCCCAAAGCTTGGATATTGGTCTGTCTGGATTTTGAGAGTTTTTTTTATCCATATAGCTTTCTTATTTTTATTTTTATTTTTATTGTTTAGTATTCAAGTTGAAAATCCATTTCAAAAAGGAAAAAGTGAATATTTGGAAGTTCATGTATGTAAAGATTAGTTTTTTTAGCCTGACGAAGTCGTATTAGCAACAAAAGCCATATGTATAATGCTGGGCAAAGCTTATTCTCCACCATTAGACTTGCATTTTATTGTTTTTCTGGAAATGGGTCCAAGACTAGAGTGCAATTCATTGTTTAAATTTCAAGGCTTTTTTTTTTTTTTTTTTTTTTTTGCAGAAGTTAAAGTAGCAGCAAAAAAGACATATATACAATGCTGGGAAAAGCTCATTCTCCACTATTGAACTTAGACTTGAACCCATCCATCATCCACCATGGACCCACAACCTCATTCCCTCTCTCTCTCAACCTTTGGAACTTGGGAACTCAGAGGTTTGGTTCTTCTTCTTCTTGTAGTTGCAAATCTATGGCCATTGATTTTGAGAAATCAGAGGATTCCCACCACAAACCTCAACCCCCAGGTACTGCCTTTTTTTTTCTCGATTTTTTTTCGTCAATTCTGCCATTCTCATAGAGGAAAGAGGACAAGGTATCCTCAAGTATCAAAACAAAAACAGAAAAACAACGTGAAAAGACTCTAAAGAATTCACAAGTACTAAGTTTGGGAAATCAGAGTTTGTGATGGGATGCATTTCGAAAAAAGAGTTCAGGAGTGTGATGTTTCCAGAGCTATAGAAAAAAATCCTAGTTTGTTTTTGTGTTTTTTTTGTTTTGTTTTGGACTCCCTGTCCATCTTTTATTGAACTTATTTCAGATTTATAATAGAATCATATAAAAAAAGTTATTCATTCGTAACTCTGACGTCGTCATTGGTGCAGATGCAGTAGCTGGCACTCCAACAATTGTGCGTTCCACGACGAGTTTTGGGAGATTGAAAGTACAAAGAGCAAAAATTCCCCGGTTCGTAGAAAGACAAGAACAAGATGAACATTTACCTTTGGCATTTGATGATGAATCTGTTGATGTTGGCTCGAATGCCGGGGTTGAGCTCGTGAAGGGAGCAGGAGTTTCAAGCCATTCTCGGTGGCAACGATCCGGGGACAAGTCATCTGAGACTAGAAAACACAGCAGTGCAAAGGCTCCAGCTCCTAGAAGATGGAATTTAAGACATGACTCACTAGACCTAACCCAACGGTCAAAATCAACCTCTGGTGCTGCTGACTTTTTTAGTAGGAAATCCTTTAGAGATGTAGGCTGCTCCGATTTTATGATTGAATGCCTGAGGAAGCTGAATTTTCAACGCCCCTCAAATATTCAGGTATGACAAACATAGTTCTTACCAGTTTCCAACTTGCAATTACTAATGCAAGTTGCTAATTTTCACAAGCTAACCCATCTGACTCTTTTGTATTTGGTCAGTTACTATCTCCACTTCTTTGTAGATTAGGAATGTGCCACTTTCTAATTTCTTTTGATAAGACCTTGTAGTATATTAATACTGAAAACTGTACAAAAATATCGAGGACAAGAAGTCCGCAGGTGAAAGCAACTAAGATACATCAAAAAGAGAAAAATACCAGTAGAAAACCTAGACTTTTAGAAGCCTAGTACATCTTTTGAATCCTACAAAATTAAAGAAATGGAAAGTCAAAAAACTTTATTAGTGAAGCCCACAAAGAATGTTTAGCCTTTTTGAAAAGGGGGCGCAAATACATTTCCCTTTTCTTTGAAAATGTTCCACTTTCTAATTGAAGTTGTATTTTATGCGGATTTTATTCCCCCCCCCCCTTTGGTTTCTATCTCGTTTGTTTATTTATCCCATAATTAGGTGGTGGTATCGTTTGTGTGCTGCTATTGTGCTTGGCTAAGCAGTGTGCCATTGCCGTATTCAGTAGTGGAATTACCTTACAAAGAAACTTTCTGAAATCTGAACCAAATAGGATGATCCCTCGAACCGAAAGAATGTGGTTTGTTTAATGTTTTTGTTAAATGTTAATGCGTCTTTCTTGGCTGCCCTGATAATTATTTTCCAGTTCAGTTCTTTGGAGATTGCATTATTAGAAATCTTTTGCAGATTGCATTATTAGAAATCTTACTTTCTAATAACTTACATACCTTTGGAGATTGCATTATTAGAAATCTTACTTTCCCATAACTTACGTACGTATCCATAATGATTTTTATTGGTCCAACGGATTGGGGTTGGCTATATGGATTTCTCGTTTTCAGTATGCTCTATTAAACACGAGACCCTCCTAAAACCCTAGATCTTGAAAGTCGTGCCTAACTACGTCAGCCTAAGTAATTCTTGGTCTATCACTCTCTCTCCTAGTACTAGGTATTTGGATGTTCTCCTAAGCACGAACAAGTGCATCTAACGATCTACGTTGTACATGCCCGTACCACCTCAGACAGTTTTTCCGCACCTTATCTTTTATTGGTGCTACACCTACTTTACTACGAATAACTTCATTCCGTATGCGATCCATCCTCGTATGGCCACTCATCCATCTTAACATACGCATCTCCGCCACACTCATCTTGTATATTTGTTGTCTCTTGATGGCCCAACATTCACTACCATATAACATAGCCGGGCAAATTGTTGTCCTGTAGACTTTTCCTTTCAACTTAATAGGCATCTTATCATCATATAAAACTCCCGTG